AATCATTTTAAACCCGGAAGCTGAAATTAGCTGACAAAAGCTCAAAATTATCCAGTTTTCCCCACAATTAAAGCTGACAGATGCTAACATTGTCTTAACTGATGCTAAACACACAAATATGTTAGTATATAAAAAAAAATTCTCCAGGGTGTCCTGAACCTTTAAACTTTGAGAAGCAGTTTAGTAATGCAAGCAAAACACGGGTGCTCTCTGCGGATCCTGTGTGTGTGCACGCATGCATGTATGTGTCTTTCTGACACATGAACACAGCAGCTTTCACTATTGGGCACAACACTTAAAACTTTACAGGTCCTGTTTAAATCACGCTAAAGCATATGCGATGTTACATGAACTCTGTTCAGCAAACACATACTTTTATGCTTTTAGCTGCAGCTTAAACAGGGAGGGGGACAGCTTCTTGGATTGATGATGGAACACGCAGCGACAACCAATCTCTAGCTATTATTAACTACAAAGCCTTTTGCAATTAAATCGAGAGACCTGCTCGATCGAAATATCACTGGGACACGCAGTGAAAGTTTTAAAACTTAAGGTAACTAGAAGCTGAGGAACACGCTTAGTTCTAGCTTGATAATCGGCTCATGGCTTGTTATGCTATCTGAAAAGCACTGGGACACGCAGTTTTTCGGTGTAGCAAAAAGTTAATTAATAAAAAGGAACACGCTCTATTCTAACCTTTATAAAATCCTCACAAAGCAGTTCAAAGATGTTTACAGCAGGAGGGTGGGCTCGCAGGTAGCAGCTCATTCATTCATCCATCCATCCCATAATATGCTTATGCTCATCTCTGTTAGATTTCTTTTGTTATAAAGAAATAGTGGCCTGTATAAATTAATTATCTAGATTAAACTTGCTAAGCGTTCTCCACCAAAAATCTGTAAAAATTACATATTTAATGCTTTGTTTACTCTCCACAAATAAACATGTAGCAAATTATAGTAATAATGTAGATTAACTTGCGCGCATATCTACATCAATAATCTGTAACATATTATAATGTAGATTAAAGTGCTCGCATATCTACACCATTATTACTGTAAAAATTAGCTCATGGTTCTTCTTCCCGCGCCTTTCTGCCGTTATAATGTTGCGAGTTATGAGTTAGATTTCAGTGCTCGCGTACCTTCTGGAACATTATATAGCGGACTAGCTTAGCAGGAGAAAGATTCATTTGAACGGGGCTTCAAATGAATTGACTCTTTAGATTCGAACAAACGAATCGTCCAGCGATGCTATCAAAATAAAATCCCATGAAGTTTGAGCAGGGTAGCAAGATCAAAGTTTAAGACATTAGATTCATTAATATACACAGGCACCTTTCTTTATACAAAATTAAACTTTATTGACTAATCTAACAGAAACTAACACCTAACACAAACACACATTCATACAAGCATAGGGCAGAGTAACAAATGTGGAGTAAGAGGTTTAGAGGATATAATGATGGGAAAATCTTGGAGTTTGTAAGAACAGACCAAGCAAACCAAATGTAATAAAATTCAATATAACCCTTGTATTGTCTCTTTATTGTTGAATTTAGTTCACACCAGTTTAGATGTTGGGAGAAAGGTGATACTTGCGGTCTGTTCGTGATGTCCGAGCTCCCATTGTTGAGCACGTGGTTCGGCTGGCTGATTCTCCTTTGTTCTCACGAGGGTTGTAGTGGGGGTGTCTGTGTTTCAAGCTGAGCAGCCAAAGGATTCTGAAATATGTAATGTCCGAGTGCGGTGATTAACCCTTTCCATCTGGGTTTCCGCCTGCTTTTTTGGAAGTTTTTCTGCTTGGGTCTCGTCTGAGTTTCTAAAGAAGTTGCAGAGAGTTTGAAGAAAGAACGGATATATTACGGATATAAACAGCATATTTCAGAGCAGAGAGGGGGGTTGCTTTAGAGATGGGAGAGAGAAAGAGTTGTTTCCTTTTGAGCTGGGAGAGAGAGAGTTTGAACAGAGAGGGTGCTAAGAGAGAGAGTTTAGCTTGGTCCTAAGCTTTATAGGGTGGGAGTTTGGATCCACCCTCCATGGAAAGTTGACCAATTAGAAACTAACTACCTGGAATAATAAATTTACAGCTCTTTTTGCATAGGCAAATTTTTGCATAAAATTTGCATAGGCAAATAAAATTTGCATAAAATTTGCATAGGCAAATTTTATGCCAATCGGGACAGAAATGTTAAAGTCTCCTAAAACGTTAATATGTTGCACTCGTATTAAAATAAAATGTCAACGATCAATTAGTGCAGCGAAACTAAGAAAACTAAGATATTGATACAGGAGCAAGGGGAAACGTTGCAAAACACACGATTAAACATAAAGAGAGTAAAGTTTATATGAAAACATCAGTCTTAGACAAGCAGCTTAAAGAGTCCTGACCCGTTCCTGTGTTTAATGCCGCATGGCACATTCCTTTTGGGTCGTAAATACCTTGGAATCAGGTTTCGAGTCTTCTCTGGGCAAAGTTGGCTCGGTTGTGGAATAAAAAGCAAAAAAATTATGTGTCTGGTTGGCCATATTTGTTACACTCGTGCCTGGAATTCGGGCCGGATTACTCTCACGTTATCCTGAGACCCCGCCCGGGATATGTGCCCAAGGTTCCTACCACACCATTTAGAGACCAGGTAGTGAGCCTGCAAGCGCTGCCCCCGGAGGAGGCAGACCCAGCCCTTTCCTTACTTTGTTCAGTTCGCGCTTTGCGTATTTATCTGGACCGCACTTAGAGCTTTAGATCATCTGAGCATCTCTTCGTCTGTTACGGTCGGCAGCAGGGAAGTGCCGTATCAAATCAAAGGTTGGCCCACTGGATAGTGGATGCCATTTCTCTCGCTTATCAGAGCCAAGGCGAGCCGTGTCCCCCGAGAGTGCGTGCACACTCCCCTCGAAGCATTGCATCCTCTTGGGGGTGTGCACACGGCGCCTCTCTAACAGACATCTGTAGAGCTGTGGGCTGGGCGACACCTAATACATTTGCAAGGTTTTACAATCTGGGAGTGGAGCCGGTTTCCTCAAGGGTGTTAGGTAAGCCTTGGTGATTGAGAAAACAATTCGGTTAAGGTGTTGAAACATGCTTGCTGCGCCACTCTCCCTAACATGGAGATGCGTGCGCCTTTTTATCTGTCAGTAAAGTTCCCCATCAGGTGAGCCCTGCAGATTCCTCCGAGGCCCCCAGCACTGACTCAGCAGAGGAGTCACTTGCTGGCCCACTACGTTGTAGGTCTGCCCGCTGGTCAGCCCGCGTTTTGGGTATAGGTGCCTTCTATGCGTGATCCCCACTAGGCGATCCCATATGCTTATTCCGCCACGGTTAAGTCCCCCCACTGGGCGGACCCGTGTTGGGTGGATGTGTTGGGTGGATGTGTTGGGTGTCACCCAGAGTGGATGTGTTGGGTGTCACCCAGCCCGCAGCTCTACAGATGTCTGTTAGAGAGGCGCCGCGTGTGTGCGCTCGAGAGGATGCGAAGCTCAGAGTGGAGTGCGCACGCACTCTCGGGGGACGCGGCTCACCTCGGCTCTGAAAAGCGAGAGAATGGCATCCACAATCCAGTGGGAAAACTTATTTCGGTACGGCACTTCCCTGCTGCCGACCGCCATAACAGACAAAGAGCTGCTCAGATGATCTAAACTCTGAGTGGGGTCCGGATAATACGCAAGACGCGAACTGGACAATAAAGAAAGGGCTGGGTCTGCCACCTCCAAGGGCAGCGCTTGCAGGCTTACTACCTAGTATTAAAACGGAGTGGTAGGAACCTTGGGCACATATCGCGGGTGGGGTCTCAGGACGTGAGAGAAAGCCAGCCCAATTACAGGCACGAGTCACTGACTGAAAATGCCTCCGGGTCCCCGACTCTCTAATCGATATCAACGCGACCAGCAGAGCTGTCTTCAGGGACAGAAAGATACTGAGTCGAGGATCGAAGGGATCTGATGCGCCTTGTGTAGCGAGGGCGAGATCCTAAGAGGGCATGAGAGGGGGCAGGGTGGATTAATTCGCTTAGCGCCCCTGAGGAACCGGATAATGAGGTTATGCGTTCCCACGGTGCTACCAGCCACTGCGTCATGAGATCGGAGATGGCAGCCACGTAACCTTGAGTGTGGAGGGCGACAGCCTGCTCTCCAGCTTCTCTCGGTGTAAAGAAAGCACAACACTGATCTGGCAAATTACGGGGGTCTTCTCTGCGAGAGACACACCATTTAGTGAATAGACTCCACTTCAGGGCATAGGCGCGCTCAGGGAGGGGGCTCTAGCCCGAGTGATGGTATTACCCACCGCAATCGGAGGTTACCTAAGTCTTCCTCGCGTCTAAGGACCGCCAAAGATCGGCGAGGGTGCCAGATGGTGCCCTGTCCCTGAGAGAGTAGGTGCTCTCTCGAAGGGAACTGCCAGGGGAGGGCTATCCCGAGGGAGAGCTCTGACATCCAGGTCCAGTTGAGCCAGAGGGGTGCAACCAGCAACCTGTTCCTCGTCCTCCCTGACCTTGCTCAGTAACTGCGCGAGCAGGCTCACTGGGGAAATCGTGTATTTGCGCATGCCCCGAGGCCAGCTGTAAGCCAGTTCATCCGTGCCGAGAGCACTCGGTCAGGGAAAGAACAACTGGCAATGAGCGATCTCGGGGGAAGCAACAGATCGATCTGGGCTTCCCCGAATCGCGCCCATATTAGCTGAACAGACTCGGGGTGGAGTCTCCATTCTCCAGGACGTAAGGCTGCCATGAGAGCGCATCGGCTGCACGGTTGAGCTTGCGTGAATATGAATGGCGTGCAGCGATTTCAGCCGTGGATGACTCCAGAGGAGCAGACGGCGGGCGAGCTGAGACATGCGGCGAGAGCGCATAACCCCCATACGGCTGATATACGCTGCCGCCGCCGTACTGTCCGTCCTGACCAGCACTTGTGGCCGCTCCAGCACCGGAAAAAAACGGTGGAGAGCGAGGAACACTCCCAACAGCTCCAGGCGATTTGCCAATGCAACTGGGTACCTTTACACAGGTCCGCAGCCGCATGCCCGTGTAACCCTACGGTGGTAGTTCTGCGTTGTTGCAGGCTAAGAATCTATTTGTAGGAGTTATCTAAATCTAGATTCGATGAGGAGGCTGGCTATATTTTAATCACATGGGCTAAGGACTCATAGATTGCACTACAAAAACACAGGACAATAGAATAAAGTTAAATGTAGTTCTTATTAAAAGAATTTGTTCTTTTTTCTTTCCTATTCAGATTCAATATTCAGTTCACTTTACATTACTACCATTGATTTTGACAAATCAGCCACAAATTTTGAGATATCATGAAACAAAATAGAAGGAAAGATCTTTCAAAAAAAAGAAAAAAAATTGTTACCCTTGAGTGCACTCAAATATTTTAACTGTCTAACCACCCCTTCAATACTTAGCGTCCATATCAAACTCCAAAAGGAACCGTTGCAGCGCTGTTAGTTGAAGGATAGACCAGAGAACCAGGCACCAAGGCGAACAGAGAGGAATCCACCTTCAGTTGGAGGAACACCAGGAATCCAGGATCAGAAGAACCCTCAAAAAAAAAAAACAGTCTACACAAAAATGTGCAGAAAATTAACTAATGTTAACTAAATGTCATTCTTCCATTTTTTCCATTTGTTCAATAATATTTAAAGTCAATATGTTCAATAATACAACTTAAAATAAAAATCAATAAAATGTAATTGAACACCCAAAAGTACAGGACAGCATTTTAATGCAAAATTAAAATGCTTAACTCAAACCAGCATCATTTGCTTTCAAAATGCATCTTTCTTATTGTACAAAACTAGAATATACAACAAAATATACCTGTGAGGTAACATCCACTGCTATTGCAGATAGCCAGACTGGTTTTTTGTCTTTTTTTATCCACTGTAATCCACTGTAACGTCGAAATATAAACTTTTTAGTCATATCACCATTTTAGCTTCAAGCTAATCAACACAAACGATAGTTTTCACTTACCCAGATAATTTTGTTTTACAACAAATGTCATCTCATCTTTAATGTGGTTCAACTTAAGGGATATAATTCGTTTTCTGAATAATTTCAACCTTAATATTAACTTCTGCTCTGGCTCCCGTTTTTTTCAGCTTCTCTTCCCTTTAGGCAAAGCTCGCATGGCCAAAAACAGCATGCCCTGCCACCTAGTGGCGAACTAGATATTGCGCTTTACTCTAGTTTGAGTGTTTGCATTAAAGGTCATTTCAGGACTTTATTTGGGCAGAATTGACAGGGTTACACCCGCAACGCACAGCCCCCCAGTCCTTGTCGGAAGCGTCTGTTGAAACGACAACAAGACTGGACGCCCGTCCTAGAGACACCCAGGCCTGTAGGAACGAGGGGTCGCTACGCGGGCTAAGGGTGCGGCGACAGCGTAGTAACAGAGACTCGGTGTGCGCGCGCGTGCCATCGGCGGTCGATCGTGAAGCCAGTGCTGAAGTGGTCTCATATAGAGTAATCCGAGCGGCATGAAGCGGCTGCGGTTGCCATATGCCCCAGGAGCCTCTGAATAGTTTCAGTGGGACCACTATTTTACTGTCGAGCTCTCTCAGACAGTACAGCATCAGCTGAGCGCGCTCTCCGGAGAGGCGCGCTGCCATGGTGACCGAGTCCAGCTCCAGCCTGAGAGAAGAGATCTTCAGCACGGGGGCGAGTTTGCTCTTTTCTCGGTTGACCTGAAACCCCAACAGGTGGAAGTGCCGGAGTACTTTGTCTCTGTGCATAATCAATTGCTGCGAGAGAGGGCAAAAATCAGCCAGTCGTCAAGAAAATTGAGTATGCAGATGGCCGCGAGCCAAAGGGGTGCTGAGGCACCCTCCGTGGGCTTGGTGAGGACCCGCGGAGACAGAGAGAGCCCGAAGGGGAGGGCTTTGTATTGCCAAGCTCGACCTTCAAACGCAAACCGCAGAAACTGACGGTGGCGAGGAAGAGTGGAGACATGGAAATACGTGTCCATCAGGTCTAATGCTGCAGACCAACCCAGAGGACGAACGCACCGGAGGATGCGCTTCTGCGTGAGCCTTCTGAACGGCAGCTTGTGCAGACAGCGGGTTAAAAACGCAGATCTAGGATTGGCCGTGACCCACCGCTTTTTTTGGGCACGATAAAGTGTGGGCTGTAAAACCCGTTCTCCATCTCAGCTGGAGGGAGCGGCTTGATTGCATCCTTCGCCAGGAGGACAGCAATCTCTTCTCGCAAGACAGGGGCGGACAGGGGGCTGACTCTGGTGAATACACACCTGTGATTTGGGGGGGCGTTTTTGCGAACTGAATCGCATAGCCGAGTCTGATTGTGCGTATGAGCCACCGCGAAGAGCTGGCCCGCGCTAACCAGGCAGACAGAGCTCTCGCTAATGGACTCATCGCTACAATCGCTGACGTACCAGCTCTCACTCCGCACCCGAGCTCCGGAGGGGAGGCTCGAGGGGTGGGAGAAAGGAGGCCGTCCTCCCAGTGCTCGTGAGCCACTGCCGAAACGCACCGAATCTGCAAGCTAGAAAGCATAGCGTCCCAGACTGGCAGATTTCGGGCTGTCACATTCGGGGAAGTGGAAAAGTGCTCTTTCATGATGTTTTCATGGCAGTAAAAAGTGCCGTTGTAAATGGGGCCCCGCCCTCAAGCGGGGAAAGAGCAAGTTCCCTCTTCTCCAAATGGCCTGTCCCAGGGACGCTTCGCGGTCCGTTGCCGGACTTAGCGGCGTTCTGGGCAGGGGGGGCTGCCTGCTTCCGAGGTGCTCGACGCGCTCGCTTCAACCGGGGGCGGGGGCGGAGCAGCTCATAGGCGGGCACCTTCGGCGAGGAGCAGGTATGAATGGCACGGCGGGCGGAGCGGGCTACGGACCGCCGATAAAACATCACCCACAACTGCTCTCTCACCGCCTTGAATTCCTGGGTGAATTCACAGACGGTGTCGCCGAACATGGCTTGGGATATAGGGAAGTCAAGAAAGCGGACTTTGTCAACTTCGCGCATATCAGCCAGGAGTGGCGCTCCTGGATCACTAATGTGGACATCGTCCTCCCCAACGCCCGGAGGGGGCGAGCAGGTCTGGATCATCATCGGACAATGAAAGCCCACCCTCCAATGCCGCGGTGGACGTCTGGTCTCCGGTGTCATTGGGCATAAGGGCTACCATCTGTTAGACGGATCGCTTCCCCCGCCCGAAGCTTGGATGGAGCGCTTAGAGGAGCGGGAGGTCCGCGGGCCTGTGGGCGACGGATTATCTCTTGCTGAAACCCTCAGATCTGCCCGAGTGCCCGCTGCAGAGCAGGGGACAACTGGGGTGGTTCGCCCTTTTGCAAAGGCTAGCCACGATCTTTACTGCACAACAGTCATGGCATCGCAATGACGACATGAACTGCCCGCGAGCAGCGCATTAACATGCTGGACCCCCCAGGCATGTAACGCAGTGCCCATGCCCATCATCCGAGGACAGGAAACCACCGCATCCAGAAACGCACAGTCGGAGCGCTGTCCTGAAAAGGACGTGCTGCTTGACTGTGTTGCTCTTTCTGTGAAGTTTGCAACTTTATACGCACCGCTCAGGAGGACCGGACCCAAAGAACGCCAGGCAAGGGTGAAACCCAGCTCGACCGTCTGCTGCTGCGTGTACACACTCTGGACCGGGAGAATGCTCTCGTTCGCTCAGAATCGCTGGTCACAGCAGGAGGAACACTCATCGACTCGATCACAAAGTCTCTGAAGCGAAAAGGATGGCGTTTGCTCGCTCCAGGTGTGCTTATATGCTGGGATAATTGGCAATGAAGCACACCTGTGCAAGCTTACGCTGCCAATTCATTGCATTCATTGGCCCGTTGAATACTCTTTCAGACAAGCGGCTTCTGAACCGAATCCTCCCATTTCGTGGATTTTCAAATCAAATCCACCTATAGCACTGAAGTTCCCCAACCGAAGGGGAACCTTTGTTCCCCGAGGAGGGGAACGGAAATGCTATTTAGCATCGCTATAATGACTGTTCCTTTATTAAAGGCCTGCAGCACAGTAGGTCTCGCCACATGAGTGGGCACCTTCGGCACATACCCCGGTCTGGGATAAAGAAAGGCTTTAGACATGCCTGGAGCAAACTCCAGAAATAAAGCTGCAACCAACAAAGCCTGGAGGTCACCAACCCTTTTCAGGGGAGAAATAGCTAATAAAAAAGCTGTTTTTCTGACACCTCCTGCAGTGGCTCAAAAGGGGGAACAGAGATGCCCTCGAGCACCAATGTTAAATCTCATGTCGGTACTCTGTGTGTGCTGACAGGCCTTAGCCTAATGGCTCCACAAAGGAAGCGACAAATTAGCGAATCCTGTCTTATAGTGACTCATCATCTTGGGGAGAACGGTTAGCCCTTATGGCTGACATATACACTCTCAGAATGTATGCAGCTAACCCTGCAGCTTTGAAAGGTCTGTGCAACCTCGGTTGACAGTCCATACTCTATGAGGTGGGTCCCCTCAGAGGCCACACCCACAGTTTCCACAGGTCGGGGATGAAGTATCATTCCTCCTGCCTGGGACAGAAGCTTCCTCCTGATGGGGATCTCCCACATGAGACCTGCCAGGAGGGCTATTAGGTCTAAAAACCAAATTCTCGTAGGCCAAAACGGGGCTACCAGCAGTAACTGGACATCTTGACGGCCCCTTTCCAGTACTCCTGGGATGAGTCAGAGCGAACAGGGGAAAAGCATACAGATGTAGCCTCGGCCACGTCTGCACCATGGCATCCAGTCCAGAGGGACATCATGCCTCAGCCCCAAGAACAAGAATCCTGCATTAGAGCTAAAAAATGAGCACTTTCAAAATCACTTGCCTTTCCTCTTGAAACTTGTTTAAACATGTTTAAAACTGCACGCAATGTTATTTAAAACAAAAAAAATGATGAGTTTTATGGTTTTTAAGCTGTTTTATCACTTTCTGTTTTTGGCCAGAAAACATCATGTCTAAGCCCCAAGAACAAGAATCCTGCATGAGAGCTCAAAAAATAAGCACATTCAAAATCACTTGCTTTTCCCTTTAAAACAAAAAGAACATCTCAGGTTACGTATGTAATCATAGTTACTCGAGAGGGAACGAGACACTGCGTCTAACCAGAATGCTAGGGAAACACCTCTTTTATACGCGTCTTGAAGCACATGTGAAATCAATCTAATGAAATTAAGTGGTGACGTCATCACGCGCGTGCACACGGCAGCGTGAACATCAGACCAGAGAGTATAAAAGCCTGCACTGAGCATTCAGTGTTAACTTCAAATTTGCTTAAAAGAAATAACAGGCAGCAGAAAGTATGGCGGAAAATGCAGTGTCTCGTTCCCTCTCGGGGAACTATGGTTGCACAGACCAACATAGCAAATGTTTTCTGGCCCTGCTCCGGGCCACACAATAACTTTTTCCTTGGCCCAAGAACCGCAAAGAATGATGGCCCTGAAGTGGCCCAGAACTGGATTAAAGACAAGGGCCACACATGGGCCATAACCAGCCCGACTCTCAGCCAATTTATCACCCTTAACTGGCCCTGAACTGGGCCAACACAGGTTCATTATTGGTACTGATTCTCAGCCATAAGTTAACCATGTCAACACCACCTTTTAACCAGAAACCCCAAAACTGAACCATAACCCAGCCCGATACCTTAACCATGTGAACAAATAAATCACAATAAATCTCAATTCTCAAAATGTGTTTCAAGAGTTCACACTTAGCTGATTGTTGATAAGCTAGTTTGGCATGCTGTCCTGGGAGAGAGCCCCGAGCTTATGAGAGCCTTGAGCCCGGGGCTCCCTCCCGTTGCAGGGCGAGAGGGGACTTTGAGCTCAGGTAGATCTCGAGAACCCCCCTTCCTCCTGCTGCTTGAGGGTTGCTAAGGTGATGCGTTGCTGACAGAATTGAATCGAATTTGGTGCTAATTTGGTTTAGTCAATTTACTTAAGTGTCATGTTTTTAGGAGTGTGGGAGGAAACCAAAGGACCCGGGGAAAACTCACCCAAGCACGGGGAGAACATGAATTCCACACGAAAATGCTGACCTTTTGGGTAGATGCCCGAACCGGAGGCATTTTGCTGTGAGGCCGCAGTGCTAGCCACTGGGCCGCCGTGCTGCCCTGTAGACAAAGGAGGAGGCAAAGGAGTGAAAGGAGGGGATTCTTCAAGACGAAGATGACTAAAGGTAAGGTGTTTGGTTATTTATACTTGGTTAGGAGTAGTCTGATTG